CCAATTATAATTATGAACATATATCTTTATAAGAAATATAATAATGCATAAGTAAAATTATTATTATTATTATCATTGATGGGTTTTCTCCTTTCCAAGCTTATTGGGAAAAGAGAAAATCCATCACCAGGGAAATAATTTGTTGGAGGTGAAACCATCAATCTCAACCTGCCTCAATGTGTATTTTTACCCTTTTCTTTCCTATCTTAATGGAAGAGAGGACCCTTCATGAAAGACATAACCCTTCTGTCTATGGCTGATCCTACTTGGAGAGGTGGGATTTCTCCTGGCCAAGGTGGATCCTTCCTCCTTTCTTCTTTATCATACCTTCTCTCACCTTCTTATGGGCTTTGTCCTATCACTGATTCCTTTCTATCTTAATTGTTTCCTCTCCACTGGCAATTTTCTCCCAGTTTTATTTAAAAAAAAAAAAAATCCCCCCATACTAAAATAATGCCCTCCTAGACTCTCCATCAGCAGTTCTGAAAGTGCGGTCTGAAGAGCTCCTATATTGGAATCACCTAGGTGCTTGTCTAAAACGCAGAGTCCTGGGCCCCACCTTGATCTATAAGACTCACTGAGCCCTGGAGCCTGTACTCTAACGAACAGTCCAGATGATTCCAATGCACCATGTACCCTCTCCTGTGTATACTGTGATTATTTCACTTTCCCATGATCCTCAAATCTTCAAGAGCATCAAGCCTGGCCCCTCTCCAACACACATACTGATTTTGCAGAAAAAAGAAACCATTAGAGAAAAAAAATAACCCTCTAATTCTCACATTATAAATGTAACTCCATTCACGGGGTGCCTGGGTGGCTCAGTCGGTTAAGCATCTGACTTCAGCTCAGGTCATGATCTCACGGTTCGTGAGTTTGAGCCCAATGTCGGGCTCTGTGCTGACAGTGCAGAGCCTAGAACCCACTATGAGCTCTGTGTGTGTGTCTCTCTCTCTATTCCTCCCCTGCTCACACTCTGTCTCTCTCTCTTTCAAAAATAAATAAACATTAAAAAAGAAAAATGTTTAAAAAATAAACATAACTCCATTCATACCTATCCTTTCTACTTTTTCTTCTGTCAGCATGGAAAATACGTACTTTCTTCTTCTGAGGCTAATCATGACATCTGAGTTCATGTCTCACCTTTTCCTACCCTCCTAAGAACTTCACTCAATCTACTCTCCTGTCTCATATATTTTTAACCTCTCCGTATCCACAGCTTTCTTTTCAAACCTACATACAGTTGACCCTTAGACAACATGGGTTAGGAGTGCTGACCTCTCCCTCCAGGTGCCCAAAGTTGAAAGTCCACCTATAACTTTTGACTCCCCAAACACTTAACTACTAATAGCCTACTGTTGACCAAGAGTGTTACTGGTAACACAGGCAGTTAATTAACACCTATTTTGTATGTTATGTGCATTAGGAACCTTAGTTTTACAATCAAGCAAGCTAGTAAAAAGAAAATGTTATTAAGAAAAGTTTACAGGAGAGGGGCACCCAAGTGGCTCAGTCGAATGAGCATGTGACTTCAGCTCAGGTCACCATCTCACGGTTCATGAGTTGAGTTCAAGCCCCATTATGGAGCTCTCTGCTGTCAGCTCCGAGCCTGCCTGGGATCCTCTGTCTCCCTCTCTCTCTGCCCCTTCCCCACGTGCATGCGCTTTTGTCTCTCTCAAAATAAATAAACATTTTTGAAAAATCATAAGGGAGAGAAAACGCATTTACAGCGTGCACTGTAGCCACTGAAAAGACACCCATGTAGAAGTGTGCACGTGCTGCTCACACCTGAGGGGTTCGAGGATCCCCTGTACAAACGTCTCCCCTCTTCTCCCTTAACTTCATGAACCAAACCCCTCCAGCTACTGAACCCCTTCACCTCCTCTTCTCGTCTAAACTTCCATGTCTCTCCCCTTACTGCTCATTTGCCACCCACTTCTGTTTAATTCCCACCCTTGCTATTTCCCGGAAACTTCTCTCACTAAAATGACCCCAAATTACTTTGTTGCTAAATCCAGGGGACACTCAGGCTGCACGTCATCTGATCCCTAGGTTCCATTGGACACGGTCGTCCATTCCTTTCCTGGAACTTTCTTCTCCTGGCTTCCTTGAAACCTCTTTCCTTCCGATCTCTCTGCTGCTCCTTTCCACTCTCCTTCTCAGGCTTCTCTCCCTCTACTCTTCCCTTAAACAGTGGGCTCCTAGATTCCTGACCTAGCCCCCCTTTTTTTTCTCTCCCCACTCTATCCACTCACTCCGTGAATCTTATCCATGCCTACTGTTTCAAACTATGTGCAGAAGAGCCTCATGTGTGACTTCCTACTCTGAGCCCCAGATCCACACAATCGATGATCTAGAAGGCATTTCTAGTTAGATGCCTCACAGGTACCTCATATTATATATATTCAAAATTACCTTGGGAACTTCCTCTCCACCCCCTTCCAGGTAAAATTCTCTGCAAGCTGCCCAAGCCAGGAACTTAAGAGTCATCCTTGACTCCTTCCTCCCTCTCCCTCCTGTTAACCCCCTCCTAAATGTTTCGTACTTGGAACAGCCTTTCTCCCATCTTGCTCCCTTCCAATCCAGGGGGATACCCTGGAAGAAAAGACCACAGTCATACTGACCAAATATTTGCTGTAGTTCAGTTTAAAAGTAGGCTCCAAATTCAAAAATAAAAGAAGATAAAAGTAGGCTCCAAACTTCCTGCCAACCGGTAAAAATGAAGGAAAAGTAAACTTCCTATTTTATAATCCCTGTTCTAAGGCTAACACATTACTCTAAAAGAAATATCTCAGGAGGAGATTTATAGAGGGAGTAAAATGCGATGAAATGGACAATGTCCTCAACAACATACCTGCAATAGATCAATCCTACAATTTCATTTGGCAAGTATTTATGGAGTACTCACTATGAGCCAGGCACTGTACCCACTACTGCAGGTAAAACAGTGAATGTGGTTGTTTCTTCTCTAATTTCATCATTAAAACCAAGTTTTGGCATCGTATTAAATGCCGCCGTCTGCACCCAGTTTGGTGGGTTTCCCAAGCCATCCCTGCGTGATGGCAAAACTAGGGTTATACCAACAACAGGAGTTCAGTGCGTCCACCTCCTCCACCCTCTCCCGGGGCCATCCCCAGACTCTAGGGCATGACCTCACGATTTCCAGCCTTTCCTTTAAATCACAGCTTACTTTAAACAAAAGGCACCACCATACATCACATACTAAATATTTATAGGATTCCCCAGGAGTCGTCTTTTTTTTTTTTTCTGAGAGAAAGAAAGAGAGAGAGTGCGCGCGCAAGCGAGCAGGGAAGGGTCAGAGAGAGAGGGAGACCCAGAATCAGAAACAGGCTCTAGGCTCTGAGCTGGCTGTAAACACAGAGCCCGACGCGGGGCTCGAACCCACGAACCATGAGATCACGACCTGAGCCAAAGTCAGACGCTTAACTGGCTGGGCCACCCAGGCGCCCTCCCTTCCACCCCCCCGCCCCCCCGCCCCAGGAGTTGTCTTATAAGTGCTGACAAACAGTGCTCTCATCTGTCCAGCCTTACCTGCTCTGGCTTCCCACAGAGATCCATTGGCACAGTCACCCCAGCTACACGTGTATGTCCTCAGCAACAAGCCGCCACTGCTACTGCTCATATAGGGCAAAGGTGCTGCTCATGACACTGGACAAATCTGTGCCAAGGCTGTCAGAGGGGAGGGTGTGCACTGGCGTGCTGTTCGTTGTTGCTGGAGGTACTGGCATCCAGATGCCAACGTTAACATCGTCTTAAAGCTACCCCGACATGCGGAAACTCCCAGGGCTGCCAAAGCTGTTCAGATTATCAGGGTCCTTCAGCATAAAAGTTGTACCATGTTTTGCCGAACGGCTGAGAACAGATATCTCTAACCACGGGGATTAGAGTTTCCGAAGAGGTGTTGTCTGGCCCTCCAGATGCATTACTGAGGCTATAGAAAAACAGCTTTCTGTTTGTATTCACATCAAGATGCACAATGAGACTTTGAAGAGGGAGTCCAACCACGCAGGGGCTAGGCCAGGGGGAAAACTGTGACAATGAGCATATTCCAAATGACCCTTCCCCATAGTAGGGTATTCATAACCTTGTAGATTGCTGAACAAGCTTGGACCCAGGTCAGAAGTCATACTCTGGAAGTATGTTGTCTTCATATTTGGTCCAGTTTGACCCAGGACTAAAAAGCTGAAAGATTTAAGAACAGGTTAAAGGGCATAAATTCAGAGTCTTCTCACAAATGTCTCTCCTCTCGACTTGACCTTTGCCTTCAGACAGACACAACTGGTTCCATTATGTTCTGTTGCCAAGATTCAGAACCCAGGCTTGAGGTAGCCCCATGTGCAAGAGAAACCAGACCAACAGATGGTTACAGGTAGCATTCTCCTCTTTGTAAATAAAGATGTTTAGTCACTGGGACACTCACATGCAAGCCCTGGATTTTTCCGTAAGAAATACGGACGTAAGTGAGCTTAAAGTTCTAGATGTTTGCGACCACTTCGGCCTCTATAAACTTAGAAAGGGCCTTTTAATCTTTAATCTTAGTAAGTGAAGATTAAGTGTAAAACGCCGCCCTTCGCAAATGACGATCACTCAGTGAATTGGTGCCTGGGCTCTTAGCTTCACAGACCCCACTTTTTCCAGGACGGAAGGCTCCTTCACTCCTTAGAATCAAATTCCTCCCCTCGGTCACCCAGTTCTACCCCAGTCTTCACTCTTCCTACCCTATCGGCCAGGCAAAGTCGCGGATTCATGCTTGCGAACCACGCTGACCACCCAGTCTTGGAGACTTGGACCCTCGGTGGCCAGCCCCGCGGGGGAGCGAGAGGCAAAGCCTAGGGCGAGGAATTACCTCCCGCTAAGAGGCCCGCCGCGCGCAGCCTTGTGGGAGTTGTAGTTCTCACAACCCAGAGCCTCCAAAAGAGGCGTCACCGCGGGACTCGTTTTCCCGTGTTCCTCTGCGCGGATCGACTTGGGACTTGGTCCCTGGGTCGTTGAGGTGGTAGTGGAATCCGGTCCTCTGTGTTCGTGGAGTCTCAGCCGCCGGGGAACTCAAGGCTGGTCTCCGTCCCATCGGAGCTCCGGAGGCCAAACTTGGATTACAAGTTTAAGGTTTCCTAGAGGGCGAAACATAAGGAGCCGAACTTCTCGCTGTGGTGTGTGCGGCGGGAGCGGCGAACCCGACCCGAGTTAAAACTCCCGGGGAGTCTTCGCTGCTCCCTCCTCCGCTTCTCCCCCCACGCTTCCACTTGGGGTCCCCCCGCCCCAGGGCCAGGAGTCGCCGCGGTCGCCGCAGCTTGGCTGGAGGCTGGATGTGCACCCCCGCGGGTTCCGGGGAACTTGGGGGCGGCCGCTGAGTCCCGCGCGGTCGGAAAGTTTGTGCAGCCTCACCCCGCCTTGTGCATCTTCATCCCGGAGGGCCGCCCGGGGGCTTCCACCATGATCCACCGTGTCTTCGGCGTGCGCACGTGGGCCCCCCTGGGCATCCTGGCTTCGGTGGCGTACTGCGTCCACCGGCGTCGCGTGGCCCGGGCCGAGGCCCTGGGGGCGGCCGGCCAGCGGCCGGTCGACCGGAGTCGGCTGGAGCTGAAGATGGTGCAGGTGGTGTTCCGACACGGAGCGCGGAGTCCTCTCAAGCCGCTCCCGCAGGAGCAGGTGAGAGGCCTGCCTGGGCCGGGGCTGGTGGGGCGGGGACCGTGCGGTCGACCGCGGGCGGACCCGGCGCCGGGCCCCGAACCTTGGGAGTTTACATTCAGCGGGATTCCGGCTGGGTCCAGACCAGAAGCAAACCGCAGTAGTCAGGTCCGCCCCCCAGCTCTTGTGCAGAAGTGCTGGCCTGGCACCCGTAGCCGCTCCTGCCTCTCGTACCCTCCAGATGTAGGGTACCCCGGGAACTTCTAGTTGTGCCCCTGGCTGACGGCTGTGGGGCAGCACAGCTGATACTACTACGCTCCCTAGGGTGCTTAGAAGTCGCCTAGGGATCTTGTTCACATGAAGATTCTAATCCAGCAGGTGCGGGGTAGGGCCTGAGATTCTGCACTTCTAACAGTTATTTGGGTGAACTTGAGAATGGGAGTGTAATGCATTTCTTGTGACTGAAGGTTGTCAAGAGTTGCAGGAAGCCCATAACTGGGATCACTGTGGGGAACATAGGGCAACATCTTTTAATTTGTTGGCCGAGGGATCACCTCGGCCTTCAGTTTGATGAAATTTGAGATACATTGAAGGCTTTTTTTTTTTTTTTCTATTTTGGGGTTTCTTTTTTCCTTTTTAATATTTTTATTTATTTCTAGAGGAGAGAGAGAGAGACAGCGTGAGCAGGGGAGGGTCAGAGAGAGAGGGAGTCACAGACTGAAACAGGCTCCATGCTCTGAGCGGGCAGTCAGCAGAGAGCCCGACATGGGGCCCGAACCCACGAACCGCGAGATCATGACCTAAGCGAAAGTCGGACGCCTAACCGACTAAGCCACCCAGGCGCCCCTATTTTGGGGTTTCTAAAACTATTGTGGATGGGATTTGAGGTAGGAGAATATCTTTAATTGGCTAGTCATGTGGCTGTAATGTCTTAAAATCTACCTGGTTTGGTCAGGGTAATTATGAAGAAAGCACAAATAGGTTTTTTTTAATTTATTTTTTAAGTGTTTATTTTGAGAGAGAGAGAGCACATAAGAGGGAGAGGGGAGGAGAGAATCCCAAGCAGGCTCCACACTGTCAGCGTCAGGGCCCAATGAAATGCTGGAACCCACGAAACTGGTAGACCATGACCTGACCCAAAATCAACAGCTGAGCCATCCAGCAGCCCCTAGGGGTTTTTTTTTAAATGATTAACCTTCCTGGGTTTGATTTTTGGAGACAGGCAGTGAAGGTCTCTGGTCTTTGGTATTAGGCAGGCCTATAATTGAAGAACTGGCTTCCCGGCGAAGTTAAAAGAGGCAACCTGAAATCCTCAGGCCACCGCTGTCACACTTACCTGTGGAGGGCTTTTGGATGAACTGGTCCTCCTGGCTGATGTTGGAGCAAGTTCAATAGATTTCCAAACCTCATATTTGGCAGACTCTTCATGATCATAGTTGCTTTCCAGAAACCCTTAGGGTTGTGACCTTTCACTACACAACTAAAAATCTGGTTCTTTTTTTTTTTAATGTCTTATTTATTTCTGAGAGAGAGAGAAACAGCATGAGCAGGGGAGGGTCAGAGAGAGAGGGAGACACACAATCTGAAACAGACTCCAGGCTCTGAGCTAGCCATCAGCACAGAGCCCGACGCAGGGCTCAAACCCACGAACCATGAGATCATGACCTGAGCCAAAATCGGACGCTTAACCAACTGAGCCACCCAGGCGCCCCCTAAAAAGCTGGTTCTTAAAGATTGCCACACATGAACTCAACCCTTTAAAGCACTTCCCACATGAATAAACAAATTTTGGCAGGCACTTAATTCTGCTACCAGATTTCTAGTTAGCCTTTCTGAATGGCTGCACCACGTTCCATCTGGTATTGGTATTTCTTTTTTCTCATCCTCCCTCCTCCCCTGACCCCATTCCTTCCTTGCTTTCCGATGCGTTTTCAATCCCTTATTCTCCCTTTGTGTATTTTCACTAAATCTTCCTTATGATTTTTGGACATAGCCTGTCTCCCCCTTCTCTGTTTCTTCTTGTTACAGAAAGGCTGGAAAGTAACATATAGGGACAGAAGACTCACCGTGTTAAAGACAAATCAGTGGTAGCAGAGAATACAAGTCTGAATGTCTAGGCTTGGACTTAGTATACATCCTTAAGAGCCTGAGAAAGATTTGGATTCTTTTAGGACTTTTTCCTGAGCTAGCGGGTATGTGATGGTTACCTTCTGCCATGATGTTGGAAGGGACAGTTTGTAGCTCAGGTAGAATGCCAGCTTCATTCGTCTTCTGTCTGTGTAGCCACAAAGTAAGAACCCTCTGAGCCCATGGCCTCCCTTTGCAGTCAGGGAAGGCACGTTACCTTCTGCCTATTCACATTCTCCAGACTTCAGCCAAATGCATGAAACATCTTTGATTAGCATCAAAGCCAGGGCTGGAACCAAGCCTTTTTCCGTCTAGGCTGTGAGCACGTGTCATCGGCGTAACTTGTTTCTGGATGATTTCTCTCCGGTTTGCTTTTCAAGATCCAGCTCCATAGTGGTTGTTATTGGGATTTTCTAAGCCTCCTGGTTCCTTTATTAACTATAGTCAGAAGGCACCACCTGGCAACAATTCTAAAACGAAAATTGCCTTTGGTAGATGTTTCCAGACTTGTGACTGGTTAATAGATGAATACAAGTGACAAGTCACTCCATCCAGTTATCTCAGAAATCTTCAGAAAGTAGCGTTGTTTAAAACGAGGTGTTTTATTGCGTTGATTTCTTCTGGCTTGAACGGCTGTTGACTTAATTTGTCTTCCTTTAGCTGTACTTGGGAATATAAGCTCTGGAACGTGGTAGGCTGTTTTTTTCCTGACCATTAGATGAGACTCAAGGGCATATTCACGAGATAAATGTGGCCCTGCTTTCAGATCCCCCGTAGCTCATATCTAGGCAAGATGGCCTCCAACTCAGGCAGGTTCCTCAGAGTTTATAAAATAAAGCCTGACTTATCTGCGTTCTGCTATCGATTAAGGCATTTGGGTTTCTGTTTATTTGGGAAGGATACTGTCGATCTCACTGTTGCTCAGTACTATCCAGAGCTCGGCGAAGAGAAGCCCTGTTCCGGAAGCATGACACCATGGATGTACCAGTGACTCCATTCATTCCTCTAGAGCAGTGTCCTTGACTGCCTGATCTTGGAAAGCCTTTGCACCCCCAATGGGGAGCTTTAAAAAATATTGATGCTCGGGTGTCCCCTCTGCAGATTCTGATTTGACTGGCCCGGAGCATCCAGACATGGCAACATTTTCTCTGGTAGAGCTTTAGAATGATCCGGACTGGATAGCATTAAAAAAGTTGAGGCCTCATCCCAGATCAGGAAGATCTAGATGTGATGAGCTCAGGATGGGGCTTGGGCATCAGTTTGTTTGTTTCGAAATTTTTTTCCCATGAAGCCGATGTACAGCCAAGGTTTCAAACCACCGCTTTATTCTGCCATCTACACCTCGAAGGGGTTTGTTTACTTTCATGTAGTTTTTTTTTTTTCCTTTTACCTCCGGAATGTAGCATATCAATCCCAGTATAGTATTGTCTTCACAGAGATGTGCTTTGGTGAGATGTCATCGTTCTGTGTTGAGAAAAGTAGGAGACAGCCCCACGGAACTCATTGCTGTGACTGGTGAAAAGATGTTCATTATATTACTCTATCCTCTTTATGAGGACCCTTGGGAGGAATTTGTCTGTTAGCATTAGAAGTGGTGTGCTTCTCCTGCACAGTTGGCTTGCTTTTATCTTTAAGCTTGTCTAGCTGATCGAGTTTCTCCCTCCATAAAAGCCGGAGAGCTTAGCACTGAATCTTTGTCCCACCTGCAGTTAAATATATGGGTCTTTACAGTGTAGATTTTTGAGAAACTTTATTTCTGTATCCAGTTTTTGTCCCTATACTAGTTTGCTTTTGTCTTCCTTGCCTGCTTTGAATTGACTACTCTGTCTTACCCTATCTTAGGTCTTGCTATCCTCTACTTTAAGTGAGTTCTTAAAAATGGGGCCTAAATAAGTAATATTTCAAAGCTAGTCTTTGCCACTAACTCAGAAGCTGACTAGCAGGAACAAGAATGACAGTGAGCGTGGGGGTGGGTACCATGTACACAACTAGTGTATCATCTAGTCTTAAAAATTTGAGGGGCGCCTGGATGGCTCAGACGGTTAAATGTCCGACTTTGGCTCAGGTCATGATCTCACGGTTCATGAGTTTGAGCCCCGCATCGGGCTCTGTGCTGACAGCTCAGAGCCTGGAGCCTGCTTTGGATTCTGTGTCTCCCTGTCTCTCTCTGCCCCTTCCCCTGCTCAGGCTCTCTCTCTCTTTCTGTCCAAAATAAATAAACATAAAAAAAAAATTTTTTTTAATGAAAATAAAGTTAAATTCTATTTGGTATTTGCTGATTAAAGAGTTTGAGGGGCGCCTGGGTGGCCCAGTGGGTTAAACGGCTGACTCTTGATTTTGGCTCAGGTCACGATCTCGCGGTTCGGGAGTTCGAGTTGTGTGTTGGGCTCTGCGTTGACAGTGCAGAGCCTGCTTGGGATTCTCTGTCCCCTTTGTCTCTGTCCCTCCGCCACTCTCTTTCTTTCTCTCTCAAATAAATAAACTTAACAACAACAAAAACTGGGCTGTTACTTAAAAAAAAAAAAAAGGTTTCAAAACAGGTCCCAGGTTGAAGCACACCAAACCACTTGTTTTCCTGTATGCATTCTTTTTCTTTTTTTTTTTTTTATGTTTATTTCTGAGAGAGGGAGACACAGAATCTGAAGCAGGCTCCAGGCTGTGAGCTAGCTGTCAGCACAGAGCCCGATGCGGGGCTCGAACCCACGAACCGTGAGATCATGACCTGAGCCGAAGTCGGACACTTAAACGACTGAGCCACCCAGGTGCCCTCCTGTATGCATTCTTTACCATCTCTGCCTCACTCAGACTTCTTTCTGTTCTTAGGATTCTGAATACCAGTCTCCCCTTACCCACCTTTCACTCACAAGTCCAAGTCTTCGCTTTTCTAAAGCGTCTTCACTTCGAAGGCCGTTGCTTCCATGAAACTCCTCTGAATCCCCAGCCAGAAGAGGTCTGTCTTCTTTGAACTCCTGGGGCCCTCATCTGGTTTCTTAGGGCACGTGGTTTCTGTTTTAGTGCCGCTGTCATTCACCTTCATAGCTTCTTGTCTCTGCCATCCCACAAACCTAGAAAAGGCAGGATCATGTTCTCTTAGTCTTGGTTTCTTTCACAACGTCTGGCAAATTGTCTGTGTGCGGGCCCTTTGCTGGGCTTCCAAAATGCAGGGGTAAATCAGCGACCCAGCCTCTTCTCAGAGCAGGACTGCTGAGCAGGACAGACTAGTAAGGGAGCTCTTCTAATACAGTTTGCTGAAGGCCACCAAAAAGAGCCACTGAGGCTCCTCTGAGATCCTGGGGCCATCGTCACAGCTCCTGGGAACATTTAAGCCGTCTTGCGGAATGAGCGAAACCTTTTCAGATGAAAGGGAAAAGAACATTCCAGGTAGAAGAAACAGGAGGTTGAAAGGCTGGGAAGTACGAGGACAGTGCTGTAGAAAACAACGCTGTGTGGGGCGCCTGGGTGGCTTAGTCGGTTAAGCGTCCGACTTTCGCTTAGGTCATGATCTCGCGGTTCGTGGGTTCGGGCCCCACGTCGGGCTCTGTGCTGACTGCCAGCTCAGAGCCTGGAGCCTGTTTCAGTCTGTGACTCCCTCTCTCTCTGACCCTCCCCTGCTCACGCTGTCTCTCTCTCTCTCCTAGAAATAAATTGAAAACAAAAAAACAACGCTGTGAGGCTGCTAGAGGGCAGGTGTGGAGGACAGGGAAGAAATGGGGGAGAGAGAGGGAGAGGCAGGGGCCATCATGCAGCTGTAAGCCCGTGGAGGGTTTTATGCAGGGAAGTTAAAGGATCAGAACTTTGGAAGAAGGAGTCGTGGTTACGGACGGTAAGAAGAAGGTCGCTGCTCTGAACACCCAGTCTTCTGAGGCCAGTCGCTGCAGCCCCCTTGGGGGCCGATGCCCAGGTCTGGAGGGCTGGCTGCAGGTGGGACTGAGACAGTGTCATTTGAAAGAATGGAGGGTTTCCTTTGTGTGGAAGGAAACCTGGGGCGCTCTCCTGGGCCATTTCTGGGAGGGGCCAAGGCAGATACAATGACACACGACCCAGTAAGTTTTTTCAAACGTTGGTTTTAAAACAGAGTAGTGGGAAATTGAGTTAAACGATCTTGTGACTTTAAGTGCTGTAGGAACTCAGGTAAGAAGGCAACCACTAAAAGCTGGAGTAGTCACTAATGGGAAGTAAGACCTGAGCTATCATTGCACCTTGAAGAGAAGCTGGATGGGCAGGAGTCCCTCCGAGCACCGGAAGCAAGTTGATAGAAGATGCAGAGGAAGCAGTGGGCATGGTCTGATCTGGGGAGGGGCAGAGAGATGCATAGTGACAGTATAGCTGGGGACAGGGGCTCAGCCCATGGGGGGAGTCCTGGAAGGTCTCTTGACACATTAGGAAAAAGCTACTGATATGATGAAAGTGGCTTCACAGGATCAGTGGCAGGACGGGGGTATCTATGGATTGTCGGGGTGGAGGGAAGGGAGTCAGTCACATTTGCCTGAGGCAATAATGTTTTACACTCCGACAGATAAAAGGAGGACCTTTGGGAGTGACTTTTTTCCTAGGCGGTGATCAACAGAGTTTATTTAGTGCGTGCTGGTAGAGCAGTAGGGGAGAGTCAGGGCTGTGAGTTGGGGGCCTGGGAGCTGTGTGTAATCACTGCAAGCGACGTAATGTGTTTGGAAGAGGAGCTGGTATGTGGGAAGAAGAAAAGATTTTTGTTTTTAAAATCGAAGTCCTCCCACCTGACTCAGTGAGTGTAAGAGTTTCATGGGCAGTTGGGGCTCTGAGACCTGTGGCCACTTGTGATGTTTTGAAACCACAGCAGTACGGTGGAGCAGGAATCAGATTGCAAGGAGGAAAGGAAGATGGCGAAGAGTGAAGGGTTCTAAGGGGGCAGCCCCTTATTTGAGAAACTGGATGAAAGGAATGAAAAGGGACATTAGGTAGAGTCCTTAAGGGCCGGGGAGGCATAGAAACCTGGAGGTTGGGGCGCCTGGGTGGCTCAGTCGGTTAAGTGTCCGTCTTTGGCTCAGGTCATGATCTCGTGGTCCGTGTGTTCAAGCCCCGCGTCAGGCTCTGTGCTGACAGCTCAGAGCCTGGAGCCTGTTTTGGATTCTTTGTCGCCCTCTCTCTCTGCCCCTCCCCCGCTCATGCTCTGTCGCTCTCTGTCTCAAAAGTAAATAAAATAGTTTATTTAAATTCTAAAAAAAATTTTAGAAACCTGGAGGTTGATTCCTGGAAAAATCTTACAAGTGTCTGCTCACCGAGGTCATATTATTGTCATTCATTCGTTCATTGGTTCATTCACCAAGTATTTGCATGCCAGGCATTCTGGTGGCCTCTCCCCCTTACTGCAGCTTGGGCTTAGTGCCAAAGCAGCATCTTAATAGTGAGTGCTAATGCAATAACAAGACTTGGGCTAAGGACCCTCGGAATAATAAATTATGCTCTCTTCTTCCCTTCATTGGAGCTAGAGTTAAAGCCTCTTTCTTTCCTTCCCATGGGACGGTGTGAGTCTAGGGTCTGTGACCCCAGCTATGTCTCCCAGGCGCTGCTGGATATTAATGCTGTAAGTTTCAAGAAACTTCTAAACAATGTATTGTTTTTGTGGTCATAACAGGCAGAGTGGAATCTCCAGCTATTAGAGGTTCCACCCCAAACTCAGTTTGATTACACCGTCACCAATCTAGCCGGCGGCCCGAAACCACCTTCTCCTTTCGACTCTCAGTACCATAAGACCATACTGAAGGTGAGCCAGGCCTCCCTGCCCTGCAGAGCCCCCTGTAAAGCTTCTGTGGTTTTCTCTGGGTTGGGTTTAGCAGACTGTGAGGTATTTTCATTCTTCTCTTTCTGCCCCATGTCAGGGGGGCATGTTTGCTGGACAGCTGACCAACGTGGGCATGCAGCAGATGTTTGCCCTGGGAGAGAGGCTGCGGAAGAGCTATGTGGAGGACCTCCCCTTTCTTTCGCCAACCTTCAACCCACTGGAGGTCTTGTGAGTCTTTCCTAAAAGGGATATTGCTTCCACTTTAAGATTTATGCCTGAGGACGCCTGTACTGACTCCCACCCCCCAACCCCACTTCCAAGATGGTTCCCATTCTTCCCCGCGATAGTTTGGGGCAGTTACCTGTATATGATAGGATCCTGTGAACATGTGGTCAGTGGAGGTCACGTTCACTGGCTTTTGGGGCCCTTGAGGCACCCATCCCACAGAGAGATGCAGGATCCCTTCCAGTCCCATAGCTCCCCTTAGGTGGTCTTAAAGCCTCCCAGTTGCTCTGGAAGATAAGGCAGTGTATATAATGATATCTTCCTGTTTTTGAGCATCTCTACCCTTTTGTTTTTCTCCAGTGTTCGTTCCACTAATATATATCGGAATCTGGAGTCTACCCGGTGTTTGCTGGCTGGGCTTTTCCAAAGTCAGAAAGCAGGTTCGAGTTTGGAGTCTAGAAGTCCGCCCTTGTCTCTGAGGAGCTCTTGCTTCATCCTTCCAAAGCCCTCCCCGCCTCTCTTTCTCCATGCCTGTTCCCTGGGTTTCTCTTCTCTTCACATGTGGCTTCCAAGGTGTACGTGCTCTGGTGGGCCCTCCCTTGTCTGGCCTGCTGCCAGCCTGACCTACACAGCGATGTGTCAACCACTCCGATGTGCCCCTATTCCTGACTTCTCCTCTTAAGCTTCTACACAGGCTGCCTGAGGCACCCCCAGCCAGGCCTTGTGAATAATCCTGGGGCTTTCTGCATAGGTAAGACACTGCTGAAAAGGAAGGAGGGCAGGAGGAACACTTAGCCGAGACCCAAGCCCGCTGCCATCGGCTTGGACTCAGCGATAATCCATGGAATGACTCGGGCGGTACTGACAGTATTCCGTTCAGCCTTTCCTCGCTGAGAAAGGCTGTTAAGTTTGGGTTTTAACGTGCTCAGCCAGTGAGTGATTGCAGCGAGTGGGGCCCGACCTTTTCACCACCAAGGACCACGTGTATTATTTTCCTTCATGGATCTCATGAATCGAGGGCCGTTGACTGTCAGAGGGAGCTGCATTTTGTCACTTATACTTGATCCAAATCTACATTTAATTGCCAGTCTGAGTTTCATAGCCCCATGACCTCACCAGTATTAAGATACTAGAATGGTGCTGTAAAGCAAAGGTTCTTGCTTAGCTTCTTTAGCAGTATCTCAAATAGATAATAAAATTTCCATCAGCCTTAAAAAAAATATATGTAAAAGAATAGAAACCTCCAGGCCAGATGAGGCCGGCCTCACCCCCCGTCGGAGTTGGGTATAGCTGCTAATTCCAGCTGAATCTGGCCCCTGAACCCAAGAGTAACATAGAGCCAACAGAGGGGGCCGCCCGCTTTGGGAGAGCCCAGTGCTGGCCTTCTGAAAGCTCTGCACTCACCCAACTTCTAAAAGGCACATGAATATGCTCTGGTCTGAAAACACCAGAGGTATGACTGGAGTAGGAAAGCTGTTTCGTGGAGGCACCTGACGATAGGCAGGTCTCAGACTGAGACTGCCCCATATTCCCAACAGGGAGGGAAATGCTGTCATCACATCCACCAGCCACGGGACCCGCGCGCCCTGGGACTCCAATCTGACCACCTACCAGAGCCTTTTCTAGTAGCTTTGTACCTACTCACCTGTTTAATTCTTGTAATAATCCTGTGATGTAAGTAATAGTATCCCCAATTTACAGAGAAGGGAAGTAAGGCACAGAGAGGCTACATGACTTTCCCAGGGACACGAAGATGGAAATGGCGGAACAGGGACTCAGAGTTTGGCGGTCTGGCACCAGAAGCCAATATTCTTCATCCTGAGGCTCTGCTGCTCAGAGGACACATCTCTGGAGAGGGCCTCTGATCAGTTGACCAACAAAGTGTGTCTGAATTTTGATATTCTAGCAAAGTCACCATATGCTCCTGGAATTTTGACTGTCAGATTTTTGTTTGAGATACTAGCGCTTCGGGGCTTATATTCACCCGATCACCCTATATTGACCTCCGTGAATTCCAGAGAGCTGCTGTAACAAGAGCGCCTATCTCTTTGCCATTAGAGAGGGTCCATCTTGAGTCATGTAGCAAAGGAAGCCGCCACAAGCCCTTGCCGTCTCTGGCACAGAGCAAAGCCTCGGAAGGTGTTCGAGCACCTTCTGTGGGTATGGATAGGAGGCGATAAAGGTACTTGTGAGCTCTGAGCAGTAGTGAGCTACTGTGAGGTATACAGTTGACCCTTGAACATGGGTTCGAACTGCATGTGTCCACTTAGGCATGGTTTTGTTTTGGTAAGTACAGTACAGAAATACAAATGTATCTTCTCTTCCTTATTCTTTTCTTCATAACATTTTCTTTTCTCTAGCTTACTTGGTTGTAAGACTACACTATATAATACATACAGCATACAAAATATGGGTTAATCAACTATGTATATTATTGGTAAGGCTTCCAGTCAGCAGTAGGCTATTAGTAGTTAAGTTTTTGGGGAATCAAAAATTATACATGGAAAAAAAAGTATACATGGATCTTTGACTGCGTGGGGGGGATGGGTGACCTTAACCTCCGGGTGGTTCCAGGGTCAACTGTATGAGACACAGTATTTGTAGTCTAATGTGTGGTTCCTGGCAGTTCATCTGGGAGCCTGGCTTTCCTTTTAGGCAAGGCCACGGGGTCTGGCAGGATTGATGACCTTGTGGTCGCTTTCCTTAGATTGTCATGTGCTGAGTCACCATATTGGTCCATAGGATTGGACTTTAAGAGGCAGGGAAGTCACCTCGTTCTGATAGCATCCAGGCCGGCCCATTCTTTGTTAGAATGCCCAAGGGCTGGTGGTGCAGGAGTCTTTTGGAACAGATCAGGGAGGTGCCAGTCTGATCTGGGTGTGTACCTGCTCTGATCCGGTGTGGCCGGATAGGAGGGGCGGGGCCAGACAGAGCAAGGCTGCTCCTTGCTTTCTCCACTTCCCAGCCTGCAGGAGAGCTCCTGTGGGCGAGGCCAGGGATGGTGAAGGCAATTACTGTCCTTAAAAAGTAACCTTGATGATCTGTCGCCTGAAACAGACAAGAGAAGAAGGGAGTGGGGACGCTGGGAGGGACAAGCTGAAGCCTCTTCCTGCCTGGCTCTCCCCTTCCTTCTAGGACCCATCGTCATCCACACTGATGAAGCAAGCTCTGAAGTCTTGTACCCCAACTACGGGAACTGCTGGAGCCTGCAGGAGAGGACGAGGTAACCGCCCTGGGTTCTTGCTCACCAGTGGGGAACAGCCAGACCTTTGGCACTTGGGGCTGGCAGGCCTCTGCCTGACCTGCGGGGCCCACCCAGGCTTGCCGTATTGGTGGGTGAGTGGTGGGAAGGATTGCTTCACACTCGGGCCTGCCATTGCTGTCCAGGAAATGAAGCTCTTGCTCGTAGTGGAAGCATCTAGGGAAGGTACAGCAAGCTTGGGAGAGGCCACCTGCCTGCCCGGAGACATGGCACATTCGGCCCGAGTCGGGTCAGATATTCTTGGGTCAAGAATATCTGTTTTTGGGCGCCTGGGTGGCTCAGTCAGTTAAGCGTCCAACTTCGAGTCAGGTCATGATCTCATGGTTCGTGGGTTCGAGCCCCACGTTGGGCTCTGTGCTGACAGCCAGCTCAGAGCCTGGAGCCCGTTTCAGATTCTTTGTCTCCCTCTCTCTTTGACCCTCCCCTGCTCACGCTGTCTCTTTCTCTCTCTCAGAAATAAATAAAACATTAAAAAAATTTAAAAAAGAAAAAAAAGAATATTGTTTTCAAGCAGACCAGGACCATGGTTGTATCGTTTTTGGTATAATGGAAGACAGTGCTAGAGCGGAATTTGGGAACCCAGGCTGTTATTCTAGCTCTGGTACCTGCTAACTTCCTTGTGTAAGTCATTTGAATTCACAGAACCTTGGTTGACTCATGTGTAAGGTGAGACTGATCCCTGCTAACCCCAACGGTTTACTACTGAAGATTACATGAGATCCCAAATGATGAATGAGATACACCTTGCAAACTGTTAATTACTGTACAATAAGGCTTTGCCTTTGGTTTTTTTGGCAGAGGCCGGAGGCAGGCCGCATCTTTGCAGCCAGGAATCTCCGAGGATTTACAAAAGGTGAAGGAAGGGATGGGCATTGCCAGTCATGATGGAGTGGACTTCCTCAGCCTCCTTGACAATGTGGCTGCTGAGCAGGTTGGGTGACTGTCCTCTGGCCCTGGGGGTGCGGCACTGGGGGGAATGGGCGGGGCAGAGGGAAGTGGGCAGAGGCAGGGCGGAGGGCTCCCTGTCCGGAGGCAGCTGTGGGAGGACTTGCAGGTAGGATGGATGTGGGAGCTGAGCACAAGCAGGGAGGACTCCTCACTTGCTTAGGCACATGGACATTTAACTCTAGATCAGAGTTTCCCGAGGCACGTTCCCAGAATACCCGCGATGTGAGTGTGTACACTGTGTAGACGGGCGGGGTGGGTGATGGGGATTGTGTCTAACAGTTTTGGAACCCCTGTTACCATATCACCGTTCAGAGAGTCTCTACGCACAGCAGCAGAGTAAAGAATCTGAGAGGTAAAGAAGGCTGATCAATCTTTAAATCTGTTTTTCCCAAATGTAATGAGCCATAGATTCTCTTTTTACGTAATGAATACTAAAGACCACCCAGCAGGAAAGCCTTCTCTGGATTCAAAAGGCAGACACCCGACGGTGCAGTGTCGCCTGGGCCCCCCTTCCTCCTCTTGTCAGGATGACCGTGTGCCCTGGAGATAGAACTGCCCTGTGCTTATGGGTAATATGGAGGCCAGGTTGTAAGATGAGAGTTTATAGAAAAGTATTTACATGGCATCCTTTTTAGAAGTCCATTTTGAGGAAATGAAAGCCATGTGGAAATTTACGAATTCTTGCCCTGTGTCTTATTTATTTTTTATACTTAAAAAAAATACAAATGTTTTTATTTCCAAGTAGATGGGAAACCATCAGAAAGGTAGGAAAAAAGAGTTACCCCCCCCCCCCCCAGGGAATTGCTTCAGAAGGGCCTTGGGACGTAGCTTTTGGGGCTGCTGAGGCCCTTCGCCAGGTGAAGACAGGCCCCCGAAGGCTCTGTGGAAGCTGGTCAGCTGCCGAGCTCAGCAAACAGGAAGCATGTCTTTGTAAAACTGTCCCCATGGCCCTTCCAGGTGCACAAGCTCCCGAGCTGCCCCGCGCTGAGGAAGTTTGCACGGACGATTGAGCAGAGAGCCGTGGACACGGCCTTGTACGTCATGCAGAGGGAAGACAGGTGAGGGACCTTTAGCTGTTGCCGTCAGAGGTCACGCTCCGTCCGGCCTCCCGCTGGGTGGGGAAGGGGGTTCACTTGGCCTGTTTCCACCTGCCAGCGCGTGTTTCTACATGTGCGGAGGGGGATCACCCTGTTCTGCCGCCTGTTGAATGGGTTCGGCCCTACATCCTTACACTTCTGGAGCTGCAACTGGGGACCTGGTTCTCCCGGTCGCGGCTATAAGGAACCAGGAGCCACCCCTCAACTGAGTTTCTCTTAAACACTGACTGTTTCCCCTTTTACTCGAAGTTTCCAAGGGTTTGGGTGGGGAGAGCTGGTGGAAGAATGATGATTGTTGACTTTGCTCATCAGTTTACAACTTACAAGCCAGGTCCACATCCTGGCACTTTTGGTGTTGGGAGTCTTTGTACACAGAGAACCCTCGCACCAGAGGCGGTGCCATTCCTCCCCCCAAACGCCCCCCCCCCGCCCCCGCTTTGCGGCGCTGCATGCGGGGCGGTCTGATGGGGCTCATGGGGCCCGGTGGAGCCCGCCTGCATCCTGTGTGCCTGCACCTACCGGCTTGCCTCAGTGCCGCTCGCCCGCCACAGGGAAAGCCTTCAGATGGCGGTGGGCCCGTTCCTCCACATCCTGGAGAGCAACCTGCTGAAGGTCGTGGACCCTGCCACCCCGCCCGGCCAGACCAGGTACCAGCCACGGCAGCCGAGGGCAGGACAGGCCTCTGGCTGCAAGGGGGAGGGGAGGCCCCAGGTTTTAGGCGGGGCAAGAACCAGGCTGTTGGGGACAGGAGGCAGTTCTGTACGAGGCCCGGAGTCCCAAACACTGTCACCATTCTTCCTGCTGCACTGGTCCTACCATGGCTTGAAAATGTCATGTTAGCGAGAAGGAACACTAAGTTTATTTTTCCTTTTTTTTTTTTTTTTTTAATAATTAAACATGTGTGAAAGATTAGCTAATGATAATATCGTGCTGACATGATTGCTTGGTAGACAGTTTAGTTTGAACACCTTCACGGGAGTGTATAGAAGGGTATGATACCCGCTAGGCATTTCTGAACGTCGGAAGCAGCGCCTGAACCTCTGTCACCACTTCAGTGGTGCCTGGAACCCGGCTGGGGGCACAGACTGGGAACGTCATGTGTCCTGGGCACCTGCTGCGCAGAGTGTGATCTCCAGGAGGGACGTCCACCGCTGCTGGGGAGCTCAGATTTGGGCTGACCTACTGAATCAGGATCTGCATTTTAAATATTTTTTTAAATATTTTTATTTATTTCTAGGAGAGAGAGACAGCGTGAGCAGGGGAGGGGCAGAGAGAGAGGGAGATACAGACTCTGAAACAGGCTCCAGGCTCCGAGCTGGCAGTCAGCACAGAGCCTGATGCGGGGCTCGAAGCCACGAATCGCGAGATCATGACCTAAGCGAAAGTCGGACGCTTAACCGACTAAGCCACCCAGGCGCCCCAGGATCTGCATTTTAGCAAGATCCGCGGGAGTCCCACGCTCCTACCGTGGGAGAAGCACTGTTGCAGGCTGCCTTCTTTATTTTATTTATTTATTTATTTATTTTTTGTTTCATGTTTTTTAATAGTTTGGTTTTTTCTTTTTTTTCTTACAAATACTTTATTGTCAAGTTGGTTTCCATATGACACTCAGTGCTCATCCCCACAAGTGCCCTCCTCCATGCCCATCTCCCCCCCCCACACCCATCAGTCCTCAGTTTGTTCTCAGCATTCAAGAGTCTCTCATGGTTTGCCTCTCTTCCCCTCCCCCACTGCTTCCCCCCTTCTTCTCCCCCACGATCCTCCGTTAAGTTCCTCCTAATCCTCCTATATGTGCAAACATATGGTATTTGTCCCTCTCTGCCTGACTTATTTCACTCAGTTTCACTTATAACACCCTCAGGGTCCATCCATGTTGCTACACATGGCCAGATTTCATTCTTTCTCATTGCCGTGTAGTATTCCATCGTATAGATAAACCACATCTTCTTGATCCATTCGTCCGTTGATGGACACTTAGGCTCTTGCCATGTTTTGGCTATTGTGGAGAGTGCTGCTATGAACACTGGGATACATGTGCCCCTGTGCATCAGCACTCCTGTATCCCTTGGGTAAATTCCTGGCAGTGCTATTGCTGGGTCATAGGGGAGTTCTATTGTTAATTTTTTGAGGAACCTCCACACTGCTTTCCAGAGGGGCTGAATCAGTTTACAATTCCACCAACAGTGTAGGAGGGTGCCCATTTCTCCACATCCTTGCCAGCATCTAGAGTCCTCTGATTTGCTCATTTTAGCCACTCTGACTGGCATGAGGCGATATTTCAGTGTGGTTTTGATTTGTATTTCCCTGATGAGGAGGGATGCTGAGCATTGTTTCATGTGTCTGTTGAGGCTGCCTTCTTTAGAGTGAGATTGTGCCATAGCTGGAAAATCACGAGCACAGGAACAGGAGGGGACAGTGAGGTGAAACAGGAACATTCAGGAACTGTGGGCCAGATTTATAATAGCAGAATATTCCTTCCCTGTCCTTCATAGCACCTGCACTGACAGTACCTTTCTCATGGCCCTTGCCCCCTTGCCGCCTTGACTTTGGATCTATACAATACTATAGGATCCAGTGCTAGTCTTCTCACTTAAGAGTCTATACATAGGGGCGCCTGGGTGGCTCCGTCTGTTGAGCATCCGACTCTTGGTTTCGGCTCAGGTCATGATCTCACGGTTGCTGAGTTTGAGCCCCACGATGGGCTCCATGCTGACAGAGTAGAGCCTGCCTGGGATTCTCTCTCCTCTCTGCCTCTCCCCTGCTCACACACGTGTGTGCACTCTCTCTCTCAAACTAAAACAAAGCAAAAGTCAACACATGAAACCTTTGATCTTTTTAAAGAGCTAGATACAGGTGACAGGCAGATAAAGAGAAAAAATGGCAACTTTCTTACTGATTAAAGCCCTTTGGAGGGTATATGGAAGGCCAAACAAGCTGATTAATATTCCTTTGACATGAACCTGACTCTCCCAAACTGCAAGCCTCCCCAGCAGGGAGGAGAACGTGCACTGTTAAACTCCTCACACAGCCAAGGGCGGCAGGAGCCTTTGCCTCAGGCAGCCACATCCCCAGGAGAGAGGAGACGTGGGACTGGGCCACGCCACTGAGTCTCTCCTTCAGAACTCACCAGGGAGAGAAGTGAGGGAGGGACGGGCAAGCAGGTGGGCACGAAGGGAAAGGCCAGCCATTCTGGAGGGGATCCCTCCTCATGAAAGTATGGGGGTGGGAATAAGGGTCCCCCCCCATCTCACTGATTTCTAGATGTTGCCTGAGGCCAGGGGTACCCCTTACTCAAAGGAGGCAGACAGGGCCTGGCCTCCAGAGTCCTGAGGTAAAGGCCTATGGAGAACGGTTTCCTCTTTGCAGAAAGCTCTACCTCTACGCGGCTCATGATGTGACCCTCATGCCTCTCTTAATCGTCCTGGGCATTTTTGACCACAAATGGCCCCCGTTTGCTGTGGATCTGACCATGGAACTCTACCAGCACCTGGAATCGAAGGAGTGGTTCGTGCAGCTCTATTACCGGGGGAAGGTAAGGCCTGTGAGGTGCGGTTCGGTGGGGTGGGGCACCCTTCCACCAACCCCGCTCATCAGGTTAGCACCAAGTGGGCCCAGTCCTTGGGCCCAGCGGAGTCTCCTTGCTACCGTCAGCTCTCCGGACCCAACAAAGAGGCTCACAGCCGTGGCCCCAGGACAGGGCAAAAGTGGAAATGCGGTGGCAGGCTGGGATGTGGGCCTTATCACGGGTCGCCCCCGACTCCTTCTAGAACAGGAGCCCCCTCCTCTTCTCCTGAGTGTCTCTGCCAGGAGGTAACACCCCGACTGGGACGCTGTTTTGAAAATTAACGAGGGAGTCCTTGGGAGGCTGTGTGCCGTCGGCCGGCAGTGCCCTGGCTGCCGTCCAGGGCGGACGCTAAGGCACCACCCCGCCCCCGCCCAGGATCCGACCTTTCACCCTCCTGGCTCAGGGCTATAATGTGACCGCGTCTCCCCGGTCAGTGCAACAAGCAGTTCTTGAGTGAGCGTCTCAAGCAAGGCATGTGCTCTGTTCCGGAAGCTGAGCGGCCGTTGGGGCCTTGCTGGCTGTTAGGTGTGTGCACGCACACACCCCTGGGTCAAGTTCCTCGAACCTCTGTGCACAGCAGAGAACAGCAGGCCAGGGTCCTCGGTGGCGCTGCTGAGTCTTGTCTCTTCCACAGGAGCAGGTGCCGAAAGGGTGCCCTGACCGGCTCTGTCCCCTGGACAGGTTCTTAAACACCCTGTCCGCTTACACCTTGAGCCCAGAAAAATACCATACTCTCTGCTCTCAAGCCCGTGATTGAACCTGGGAATGGAGAGTGACTGATTTATACCAACAGGATGCGTCGGGTTTTCAATAAAGTGCTGTAACACAGTGCCGCTGGCTGTCGTGTGTGGGGAAGGCAGGAAACCGGGTTAATGTATTTTAACTGGAGGGTAGTTCCTTCCTGTAGATATCATGTACTGAGGTCCCTTCTTGAAAGGAAGAGAGGTATAAGGTTGAGACCAAAGGAGCATTTCCTATTTTGTGGCTTGATTTCCATGGCCAGAAGCATTTGCCATGATTCAGGCCAGGGTCACCGCTCCCTGCAGAATTGTGTTGGTTTGGCACTTGAGTTCTTTTTTCCTGTCTTCATTTCACAAACCCATATTGCGTACCTACTAAGTGGTGGGCATTATAAAGGTGGAAGGGCTCTGCCCTCACGTCGTTTTCGCGCCCTGGGAGAGGCACATAAGTAAGTCACTGATGACAATGCACAGTGTTCATTCTGTGATGAGGTGTAGCGGGCTCTTTAGGTACAGAGCAGAAATTCCTGGCGGGGGCTGGGGGAGCAGTTAAGAAAGGCTTCTTTCTTAAGCCTTTCTTCCTCCCTCCTAGGGAGGACCTGTGCTGATCTGAGTAGCAGAGGTGAGTAGGAGTTAACCAGGTCAAGCAAGGGTGAAAGGGTGTTGTGTATAGGGAAAAGGTGAGCTGGAAGGTCAGGGGCCATTGCTGGTCAGGGAGATGGAGCCCTGCTGTGGAGACCTGGCTGGAAGGCGCAGAACGGACTGTAGCCCCAGGAGCAAGGAGGCGGGCTCCTCGGTGGTGGGCTGGAGCCACTCCGTATAAGAACACCTTTTTTAATTTTTTTTTATTTTTAATGTTTTCCTTATTTCTGGGAGAGAGAGAGAGACAGCGTGAGCAGGGGAGGGTCAGAGAGAGAGGGAGATACAGAATCTGAAACGGGCTTCAGGCTCTGAGCTAGCTGTCAGCACAGAGCCCGACGCGGGACTCGAACCCATGAACCGCAAGATCATGACCTGAGCCGAAGACAGAGGCTTAACCGACGGAGCCACCCAGGCGCCCCAAGAACTCCACCTTTGACTGGGCCCCCGAGGCACCTGATGGTCCCCCTATCTCCTTATCAATTTTCTCATTCTTCCCCAGAGTCTCTTTCAAACTTGTTCTGATCTCAAACCAACCAACCTCTTTAGCTCTTAGGGAAAAACAGGCAATCATAAAACCCTCTCCACTTCCAGCCATCTCTATGTTGACCACTCCCAGACCTACTTCTCTAGCTGAGGTTTTTTTTTTCATCTGACCTTCAGACACTCATGACCACTTGGATGTCCCGTGGGCCCCAGACTTCCAATGTCAGAATCAAACCCCTCTCTCTCCTCAGACTTAGTCCTCCCCCAGCCTTCTGTATCTGAGTGGAAGACCCCTCCACCATCTGCTCAGTTGCTAAACCAGAAATCCATCCTCCTCTTTCTCTTACACTTTCCTGTGTCTGATCAGTTAAGTTCTGTCAGTCTCTGCTGATCATTGTTTGAATCTATTCATATCTGTCTTTGACTCTTGTCCCCTCCCCATCCTCACTCTGCTAATTACTGTATTTCCCATTTCACCAAGAAAGTAAAAGCGCTGAGAAGATTGCTCACCCCCGACCACCACCAAATCTCTTAACCCACTTACATTGGTGCCCATAAGGCCTTCGTTCCTGTTACTAAGAATGAACCCTCCCTTCTCCTGTCCAAGGCCAACCCTCCAGCTTTGCACTGACTCCAACAATTACCTTTTCTCTGCATTGTAACTTTTGTCTTCCCACCCTACGTATTCCCGTTAGCATACAAATATGCCGTAACTTCTGTCTTAACAATTTTTTCCCCGTATCTTTGACCCGCTATGCTACTTTTCTTTCCCCCTTTACAGCAAAACTTCTCAAAACCTTTCAGAAGAGTCATTCATACTCTGATTCTTCCCGTTATCTCCTGAGCCAACTGTGATGAAGTATTCACCCCACCCCTGCATGGAAACAGCTCTGTCACCGTCATCTGTGACCTTTGAGTGCTAAATCTAACAGCCAATTTCCGGGTCACTCGGCTTCTCATCAACAGTCTTGGGATATTTCTTTCACTTGGCTTCCGTGATAAAAACTCTGCTGGTTCCCCTCCAACTTCTCAACTTCTTAATTTTTGCTAAATCTACCTTTTCCTAATCTCTGGGTGTTGGAGTATCTCGGGGCTTAGTCTTTGGATCTTTTCTCTGCCTTTTCACTCCCTACATGATCTCAGGCAGTTCCATAGTTTAACATATTTTTACACAAATTCATACCTAAACTTATACCTTCACTCTGGACCTTTCCCTTGAATTCTAGTCTCACTTCCAACTGTCTACTCAACATCTCTATGTGGATATTTAAGATATTTCATGTATATTAAACTCCCCGTTGTTCACAATAAACTTAACTCTGCCTCTTCAAACCTGCTTGTTGCCCGGACTTCCCCGTCTAGGTTTAAATGGTACCTTTAAACCCACCTCACGCCGTTGCTTGGGCTAAGAACTTGGGGATTAGCCCTGCTGCCCCCCTCATGTGTTACATCTGATGCACCAAGAAATCCTATTGTGTCTCCAAACTCTGTCCAGCATTGACCACCTCTCATGACATCACTGCTGCTTAGTCTCAGCATCATGTCTTACCTGTTCAGAGCCTCTGTTTTCTTCCCTTTCCTTCTCCCCCAACTTCTCAGCATAGCTGTTGCTTTTAAAACACAGACCGTGTCCCTCTTCTCACAATTCACCCTGGCTTCCCATCTCAAAGAGAGCCAGTCATCGTAAGGGTCCCCAAGACCTCGTGACATCCTTTCCTATCTCTTCCCACTGTCCTCCCATCTGTGCAAGCCTCTTGCTGTTCTTGAATGCCTCATGGCCATGAGGTGAGCCTCACTTCAACTTGAGGCCTTTGCACAAGCTGTTCCCCCTCCCTGGAATGCTTTCTGGGGAGACATTTGCGTGGTTAGCTTCCTCTCTTAATGAAGCTTTGTTTTTGAGAGAGAGAGAGAGAGAGAGAGAGAGGGAATGAGCAGGGGTGGAGAGAGAGAGAGACAAGATCCAAAGCAGGCTCCAGGCTCAGAGCTGTCAGCACAGAGCCTGATGTGGGGCTTGAACTGTGGGATCATGACCTGAGCCAAAGTTGGATGCTCAACCAACTGAGCCACCCAGGAGCCCTTATTGAATGGATTCTGAAGTCCCTCTCCTTGCTTGGGCTGGGCACAAAGGCAGCTTCTTCCCCACTCTTCCCCACTCACCACCAGGGGGAAGCAGGGAGCGAAGGAAAACACCCAGGCTTCCTTTGGGTTCAAATTACACACTACTCTGTCCTTTTTTGTGACCCCCGGACAGGACTTTCTGAGACTCTCATGTAAAATGAGATGATTATACCAACTAATTAGGGTTGTTGTGAGAATTAATTGAGTAAATGTAAGAGTCTTCAGAGAGCCTTTTTTTTGCCTTTTTGTGATTTCTGCCCTCCAGATTCTGAGCTGTGACAGGCTTCCTCACCTGGTAGGGAAATTTGGGAGTGCACTTTCCAGCCTTCCTGTCTGCAGACAGTGCCTCCTCTCTTACCCCTTAGCCGGGGGAGTGTGCCTGCGTGCACTGGGGAGCCCTGACTCCCTCGCTCACCGGTTATGTGGCTCTGCGCAAGTCACTTAACTTCTCTGAGCTTGTGTCTTTCCAGTTATTAAACAAGGATGTTAATATTTGCCTGCCTGACAATCCATCTTCAGGATAGATGTGAAAAGCATTTCATAAACTCCTAACCCGCCCTTGGCCTTGACTCCTTTCTCTTTATGTTTTTCAATGAGTGCTGTTAAGGTTAAAAGGATTTGCAGAGTGGGTCGCTCCTTGGATGGCCAAAGTTGGGGTGTCCCGTGATAGAGTAGAGTGGTCACTCTTCTCCTCCGTCCCCTGGCTTGCCTGGGTAGATTGACTTCAGCGGGAATTCACCCGGAAGGCCATCCCCAGGGCCTCATGGCTTATCTTACTCACGGAGCTCTCGGTTCTCTGGTAGTCTCGGAGATGAGAAAACTGGCATTAGACAAAGCCAGTCACTGCTATGTGCTGACTCCTCTTTAATAGTTTCATGTAGATGGTCCAAAAGCACAGCCGGCGGATCAAAACTCCAAAGGGCCCACCTGCAGAGGAGGAAGAGAGAATCCCATCCCACCCCAGCCCAGTCCTCAGAGCACTGGGACCTGGCATGCTGGCCCGTTTGTATTTAGTGTACACAACTCAGGTCTTTGCATGTGGTACATGGCCCTCCTTCTCTTCACTGGAATCCTTGAGGGCGCTGCCCGTCTATCTGCGAAGGAGGCAGAAGGGTTAAGAACAACTATTTCATATATATTTTATTATATGCCAGGGACGTATCCTTCAACCCTGAGGCTGCTAGGGAAAGCGGGACTCCCTCTGCCGGGCTGGGGAGCTCCCCTAGGAAGAGGGCTGTGTGCTCTGTTCACACCCTGCCCTCTAGTGGCCAAGGGGATTGGCCTCGCCCTCCTGACCCTCTCCGTCCACCCTGCCAGTCTCTAGGAACCTGGTCCCCACCTAAGAGTGGGGGGAGAGAGCGCTGAAAAGCACACTCCTCAATAAAAAGTTGGTCTCCCCAGGACTCTTTTCTCTCTCGACCTGGCTTTGGAAATGTAAGCTTCCCTGCAGCTTGGAGTTGGGGTGAGGTGGCATGGCCAATAGTCTCCATTTTGGAAGCAAAGATCCAAACTAATATCAGAACTCGACAGAGCACTGGTCTGGGAATCATGGGCTGCGAGTTCAAGTCCTACCTCTGTGTGTACCATCTGTGTGACGTTGGGTAAGTCCGTTAACTTCCAGGGAACAAGCCTGGATTCTCCCCCGCCCCCCCCCCTTGTGAACGAGGCTCTAATGTGTCTCCATCACAGAATTATCCCCAGGCTCTTCTCACTGGTTAGGTATGCCTTGCACTTAGTGATAGAAGAAGAGTGCTAGACAATCGTAACAAGTCACTCCCGTCAGTCCTCAGAAAGCCTCCTCAGAGCGTTCCTCTTAGGGTGACTGAGGCACGGCACCCGGCGCTGGGC